AGAAGAGTAGGTGGAGCTGGCTATTAAACTTGCTAATACAATCTAGGTAAACAACTTTAAGCTTAATAGTAAACTAGGCTCTTCTCTAGCTCTAGATAATGTACCTAGTATATTAACTAGACAGCTAGATAAGCCTGTGAACGTCTTTATGTTATTAAAGCAGAAGACAAAGGTAAAGACTATTAGTTTACAGCTAGATAACAACTTTAGGAGCTTTATTAATAGCCTAGCTATTAATTTAAAAGACAGAGTTACTCCTTTTAAGTAGTAGTGTTAATCTAAGCAGCGTCGCAGCTATCTAGGGCTTAGCTGCATAGCTATGGCTATTCTCTCTATCCCCGCAGAATTATTAGAGCCAGAACAGACCTTCTCTGGGGCCTGAAGGACCTGTTTATGGGACAGATTGCGGTTGCAATGCACCACCATTAAGATAATTAAGTGTATTAGCAATTAGATACAACAGAGGCACATTAAGCTGGTCTAGGACAGCGGAATAGGTCTACTAATTAATCTAGAGCTTTAAGAAACTCTCCTTAGTGTTGTTAATAAGGGAGTAGGTGGGATAGATTAGTATTAAAGTAAGTAACCACGCTAACGCGCTTAAATTAATGTATATTTACTTAACGCAGTTCTTAACGCAGTTTTTAACGCGGTTCTTAACGCGGTTTTTAACGCGGTTTAACACCATAATTAACATGGTATGGTTTAAACAATACTAATATAGTATGGTTTAGAGTGATTCTTAATGTGGTTTAACCATGATAGTCATGTATGCATGCTAGACTGTTATGTTTGGGTATCTTACTGTAACTAACGCCAGACAAAAAAACTTATACTAAATTAAAGGCAGAGCTGACCTAAATCTGTCCCTACGCACTGCCACACAACTAATTTATTATTTAGGACTGGCTCTTGCCTCTGCTGCCTCTAATGCCTCCATTGCCTCTACTGCCTCCACCCCGCCCCCCTTGACCTGCACTACTAGTAGACTTCTTGACCTTTCTATTAGCTGTATTGTTAGGGTTGGCCAGGTCTTTATTACTGGGCTCAACTACTTCCGTGTCCTTGGTAGGTGGCATATTGTTAGCTGCTTAACAAGACCGGGGCTGAGGCTGGGGCTTAGGGGTATTAGGGCTCAACTTATTATTAGCTGTCTGTTTACGCTTATTGCTGCTTGTCTTCTTCTTGCTAGGCTTCTTGTCACCACCCTTCTTCACGTTAGCCCTCTTCTCACCAGCCTTGGTGGTACGACCGATTTTGCTGGGCGTGGCAGGAGGCCGCTTGTTGTTATCTGGCATCTTGACGTTGACGTCAATTGGTGCTTCTTTGAGGCGCGCCAGCTGCCCAGACGAGCCCAATCGCTCTGAAAAGGACCGCGTGTCCTTTGGCGTGACAGGTTGCATCCTTCCTGCCATAGTCCTGGCGGGAGTGAGTGTCTCTGGGTCGTTGAGGAGCGCAGCTGTGGTAGCTATTGAAGTGAAGCCGCCTTTATTAATGCTAACCCTAACATCTTCTCTGTGTTGTGCGTTAAAAAGTTTTAGCAGGACCTTGTTTTAATCAAGCTTTTTGCTGTACTTACAAGCGCCTTTAGGAGTCTCTTTGTCGTTTAAGTCGTACAGCTTGTTGTTCCACATGACGAAATTATTAAGAATATCCCGCCTGACGCTGATCTGATCGCCGACGACCTTGACACCCTTAATGTTAACAGAAACTTCGCCCTCCCGCTTGTTGTACCCATTAATTAAGGCGGAAATGCCAGCAAGAGCATTCGAGGTCGCATTCGCTATCTGGCGGTGGTTGCTTGTATTTTTGACATAGTACTTGATAATAAGACAGTCCTTCGTCTGTCCAAAGCGCACGATTCGCCCACACGCTTGAATCCATATGGGAGAAGACGGAGCAGGCGAGAAAGCGTGCATATTGCAGCAGTTGTAATGCAGGTTAAGTCCGGAATTCATATAGTAGGACATGACTAGGACCTCAAGGTCCTCGTCCAGCACACCAGCACTGTGGGGATCGTTGGTGAGGTTCTGACTTAACGGCCGCTGGAATTTCTGTACAAGCTTGTCTTTGTGCCGCACATCACTACTAGAAATATGCGCGTCGGCCTTGATATCGAGGAGCGATAGGATGACGACAAGCAGCTGCTGCTCCTAAGGATTCTGTGCGAATATGAGGGCTTTTTCGTCACTCTTGATGATTTGGTCGGCAATGGCCGCGAGGAGCGCGCGGAATCGCACTGAT